TCCGTTCATGAATTGGTTGCCCCTTTGTTCCTCCCCATCCCTCCCAAAATCCGAAGATCTCTTGGGGCCGAGGTGAGCCTTTGAACATGGCAGCCATGGAGCTCTTTCTGATTTGACGTTTCTTGTGAGAAATACTTTACATTTATCTACGTTATGACCTTGCAGGTTCAACCACAGCCTTTCATGAACGTGTGGAGCCAAGAAGGTGATGCAAGCACTCTTTTTGCGCGTGCTCGTGCAAGATATGAACAAAGTCGCTCTAAAGTGTGTATAGCTATATAACTCTTAGAGTAAGAGGGTGCTTTAGCCAAAGAAGACAGACTTCAGTCTTTGCGTCGGCTTTGACTCGAATAGAACATCTGTCCAGTTCTACAAGTAGGCATCAGCTACTACTAATACTTCTACTACGACGACGACTCCACACCAGCCACTCAACCACCCAGCCACTCAGGCTTTTCTTCCTGTCGAAATGGATAAAATGACAGATAAGTCTATTGAACGTATATATGAACTATAGAGACCCGCTAAGAATGCCTCAGTTCGAGGCTTTCCCATTCGAACATTAACTGAATTACGTTGAAAGCAAACGACTATCCATCAAAAAGAATCAAAATTCTGGACTAATTATTTATTCATCAAAGCATCACTGCCACTCTCTTGCAATCTATGCATTTGTCTGAACAACTACTGTACTTCAATGTACAAAATTCATAATGAAGGTTCCAAGTTCCAAATGGCAGTCGGTCAAACGATTCACGTGCACCGTTAGATACCTTGTAGTTGCCCAATCCGTGCCTATCAGGATTGCTGCAAAAGGTTGCTATTTTCACGGAATAAGACAATCAATCTAAAAATATCTAAAAACAGGATACAATTACTTAATAGGATACTCATGATGCTTGAGCCATCCCCATGCACATCTGTAGTCGATTCCAATCTTTTCGAACAATGCGCCAGCCATACTCTCGAAACACATCTTAGCCCTTCCTGAGCAACGGAGAAGAAGGTGAGCTGCTCGAAGAGCGCGAGTTTGAGCCGCCCAACATGGCCCACTCGGCCGGCAGATAGATAGTGATTGATGATGGCTTTGAGCCAAAATCTGCGGGACCAAGCTCGCTGAAGTCTGACCGTGTTTCGTAGGGTTCTTCGATGTTCTTCGGATAATGTCACATGTATCTGCTAATCTGCAGCTTAAAGCATCTTAAAGCAAACATCAACAAACCCTGCAATGATCTTGGAACCCCAGAATGGTCGTGCAAATGAACCGCGCTGTGGTTCCAGCTCAGCTCCAAGCTCTTTTATGCTCTTTTTCCGTGAAACTCACTGGGAGGTCTCAAGCTCAGAAAGCATCTTTGGAGACATCCGACACACTTGATTTGTGAGGAAACACATCCGACTGGCTCTCGCTAAAGCGCAGGCTCCTCTGGCTTCCAAACGATGATATACTGTAATGTACGCAGCTGCCACAGCATGAGGAAGCACAAATCAAGCAGCTTTGAAACCGGCCCGCAAGGCCAGATATTGACTTCCAACAATGCGTAGATACAAAGGATCTGCTGATGGTCTGTTTCCTGTGGATGCTGTTTCTCAATCTCCATCCCTATTCTCAACCCTGAGCATTTTACGACCTCTATATAATTCATCCATACATGATAAATGCATGCACGAATGATTGCATAAAGTATCAAACCCTATGAGGAAACGAGGATCCAAATACTCTACATGCAGTCTCTTCATGTCTCTTCCACCTGTGTGTCTAAAGGGTCCCCGTTTTGCCCTTTCTATCTTCTCGCCCTGGCCCTGGAGTCGCATCAAGCCCTGAAACCCAACCGCTCCAAGACGGTGCCGCATGCCAATTCATGCCAAAGTATGCCAAAGCTGGCTAGCTTCCGTCGAAGACTTCGGGCTTGGCATGACCACCTTGGTGCTTCGGCCGTCTCTTGGAGTCTCAAAGGACACCTTTGCCAGCCTCTGCCTGTTTGGACATAAAAACAAAAGTTCCATGCGTCATTGACAAAGTATCTTAGGGATCTTAGAGTATCTCTATATATATATATATCTTTCTTGGCTTCTGAGAACCTTCGGTCCGTTTTCACTGGGCCTGTCTCCAGGAAAATGCTCCTCAGTGAACGTGGGTCATGCGCCTGGCAACGCGGAACTCGGAACGAATCCACAGAGTGGTGACCCGGTGACGTGCAAAGACTTTTTGGCACACGGAAACCAATCCAGGATGAATTCGGATTGATCATGATTGATCATGATTCATGATTGATATGGTTGATTCAGTTACAGTACTTAAGAGGATGGATCATGAGGTGTGCTGTGCTTGCATAAACGTCGTCCAGGTTCGACACTACGTCGTAGGGGAGGCATATGGAGTATGCAAGTGTCAGGGTCGAAACAACTTGTCTAAGCCTAAGTGGATGAAGTGGTCAGTGCGGAGAATATGTCCCAATAGCATTCAATAGCTTCAATTTCTTGAAGTGCCAGCAGTCCCATGGGACTTTCGTAGAACATCGTAGAATGATCTGATTAGCTTGAGACCTGTCCAAGAAAGTCGAGTGGACTTTCAGAATTTGTCGGAGTCGTTTCAGCCGGAGTGCAATTGCATCTATTTTGTTGCAGTTTACTTTGTGTGACTTGGATAGTTGAGGCTGCACACAAGCGTTGATTGTATGAGTGTGTTATGCGATCAAAGTTCCACTCATGGACACTCAATATTGCTCAGTTCATATGATGTCCTGGTGCTGCTCATGCCGAAGGATTCAAACAAAGCAATGCCATCCCATTCCCTACTAAGCTCTGAAAACTCAGCCAGCTGGTGTTGACCACCGTGGTTGCTTCACACCTGCAGCAGTTTCCCATCTGTCGAGAGCAGCGCCAAATGTGGCCTCAGCTGTGTTCGGGTCAGGCAAAAAACTTCACTCCGGATATCAATCGGAAGTGGCAAGCCTGGACATGGAAGGGAGTCATTCATCATCGCTCCAGGAAGCGAAGCCGCCTCCGTCCTGGAATGCCCTTCTACGTTTGATGTCAGAACTGTTTTTTGATGTTTCGGGGTCTGCGCAGTGCCCCCCCTCCTCTGGCATCTACCTCTGGACAGTCCCAAAAAGTTGTTTCAGCCACTCAGGATTTTCTTCCTGTCAGCCACTCAACTACTCAGGCTTTTCTTATTGTCAGCCACTCAGCCACTGAGGCTTTTATCTACGTTATGACCTTGTAGGTTCAACCACAGCCTTTCATGAACGTGTGGAGCCAAGAAAGTGATGCGAGCACTCCTTTTGTGTGTGCTCGTGCAAGATATGAACAAAGTCGCTCTAAAGTATGCAGTGCCTGGAACATCCCTACATCCTAACATCCACCTGGATATGTTAGCAAACACTCGCATACTGAGGCACGAACATATAAGGAATAGAGTGTCTTGATGAAATAGCTGGTTTGTTATAGCAAATCTGGGGGGTAAATTTACCCCCCACTTTTGTATGCATTGGGTCGGAAATAGGGGTAAACATTTGTGTAAATTATATAAATAATATACAGTAACTGTTGGAGTAAGAGGGTGCTTTAGCCAAAGGAGACAGGCTTCAGTCTTTGCGTCGGCTTTGACATCTGTCCAGTTCTACAAGTAAGGTACTTTACTACTTCTACTACGACAACTACTCCACACCAGCCACTCAACCACTCAGGATTTTCTTCCTGTCAGCCACTGAGCCACTCAGGCTTTCTTCGTGTCAGCCACTTAGGATCTTGAGTGGCTGACTGGCTGTACAATAAAAAGAAATCCGCATATCCACGTACAATAAAAAGTGTACAAAAAGAGAGACTCCAAGAGGTGGGTAGTTAGATGTCTCGCGAAATAGAATCCTGTGGTTTCTACGATCGCTGCTGTTCTTAGCAAAACAGCTCGATGGCCACAAAAAAACTCATATCGCGGTCACCGCTAGATCTAGCAAACGTTCATTTTTGCAGAAAAGAACATCGCATTCAAGTTATCGTGGCACATGTTGTGATTCTAGGAGTTCTTGCCCCCTGTCCATGACCTGTACGTTCGAAGAGTGGAGGAGAATCTCTATCAGCTGGCAGGGATCAATTGAGGTCTTTTGTTTCCACACTTGGAGCCAACACCCTGAGCGCCGGGCGGATTCCAGGCATTTTCATTCCGTGACCATGGCGTTTCCATGTTTAAATAGGCCGCACTTTCTCTTCAAAACTGTCATGTCACTGCAGTCAAAGCCTGCGACCAGTCAAAGCACCTTTCTATTTGTTGCTTCAGGGACTTCATAAGTCCTAACTGGGTGACCTCTGGGTGAAGAGAAGAGCATTCTTTTGAAAAACCTGGTGGGGAAGGTGACCCAGAAATCTTCTCGACCCCGTTGAGGAAAAGGCACGATCCTTGAGCTGGCTACGGCAACGAGTACAACTTCATGCTCAGCAAAGTCTTCGACAAACAACGGAACCGATAGAGGTCCTTCGAAAAAGTCTTATCATCTGTATTTCAGAGTGAATCGGGAGGAATCTTATATCATCTCCTCACATATTGTTGCACAACAATATGGATATTTCTCAGAACGTCTAAGGCACGTCGAAACCCTGTGGATCTGTCTGACCATCCGACAAGAAACACTATCACTATACTATAGCGGCCACTAGCAATCATTGCCATCTCGTGAGATGCGCATCTGTCTGCTTGCCAGAACTTTTTGCGCTTTTTGCAGCTTGCCAAATCGAGCCATCCATGCAGCCGAAAAATATTTGTCCACCTTTGCTCGCACCAAAAAAGCGGTGTCCGAAAACTTACAAAATGCAAGGTCCAAAACTGCCTGGCATGACTCCAGAACTGGCGGCACTGGCGTATGGCCTGGCAAAGTAAATAAATGGAACATCTTCATCCAAATGACCCTGACCTTCGAACCTATATAGAAGGCTTGGGAGCCAACGAAGCCTATATTCTGTTAAAACATCGGAAGCCAAACCAGTTGAACTGACGCCGACGCCGCGCCTTAATTCGCCATTTCTGGGGTCATCCTGGCGGAAGCATTCAGAGAATATCCATGTCGTACTTCTTGGTCATCGAGCTGTACATCGATGTACAAATCCGGCTTCGCTTTCTTCAACTCTCGTAAGGCTTGGAGGCCTCTGTGCCCGATGTCGTTGTGCGCGAGCCTGAGTTCCTCTACTTTGTTGCAATGAAGCAAGCTGGCCACAATGTCTTCGACATCTTCATCTTTCAGCCCGCATGACTCCATCTGAAAGGAGCGAGCATTCGTATTGGCAACTGCCACAGCTGCATTCCTTGGCAATACGTTGCCATTCACCACAATCTCATCCAGATCGACATAGAACGGCAAAGCGGCGCAAAGAGTGTTGAGAGCCTCTTCATCCAAGTTTTCTGCCATCAGCTGCTTGGTGGTCCGCACCTTTTCTGCGAAGACCTGAGCTTGAAGCTTCAACACGGTCTCTTTGTCATCATGGTGGGTGAAACGAAGCCCCTGTTCCTCCATCTTGCGACGGAAGAGGTCTGGCGGCATGGGAACACAGGCTTCTAACGAGATCCGAAGCCGGGCCCACTGGCGTTCAGCTTGGCACCACCCTCTCAGCAAATACGGGGTGCTATTCGCTCTAAGCTGGTCAATGGAGACGGCAATGAGACCGCCTGCCTGATCCGAGAAAACCAGCACCGTTCCTGGATGTTTCCACGTCTCAGGAGTGAGCTCATCCAGAATCCGTACTTTGATGGCCTCATGGGCGTAGAGGGTGTGCATCTGTTCCAAAGCCTGCCTGAAGTAGCCCTCCTGTGGTGGTGTTCGGCCACCGTACTGATACAGGGACATGAAATCGTAGAACAGCCATACGGACCGAGTCGATGTGATGGTGGGACACCTCTGGATGATCTGGTCCAGTTGAAACCCATGCGGATCTGGATGCTCCATGCTCTCCCAAGCGTGAGAGATGGACTCAATCACCACAGTCACCCTGCGTGGTGAGGGATCCTTCACAAAGAGACTCATATTGCCAAGGGGATCAATCTCCAACTTCTGCAGCTCTGACGCTTGAACAAGTGCTGGAAGGCCAGCTGCTGTAAATTCACCTTCCGCCTCTTGCCTACGAAGGAACCTTCGGCCTGCAGCAAGAAGCTCCTGCAAGTATTCCAGTCGCACCAGAGCTATGTTTGCATCCAAGAGAGATTGGATGAGCTGCTGTGGATCTTGCAAGTCGTACTTGCCTTACAAATCAAAAGCAATGGCTGCCCAGGTGAACCCTGGTTTCGTGGGTATTGGAGCTCCCACTATCCTATAACGGTGTCAGCCACAGAGGACAACAAACCTGCTACGAACTCATCACAATCATATGTGGAATAATCGGTGGGGGTTGAGAACCCCATTTTATAGTGATAAATGACTGAACCAGGCTCTGGGAGCACAATGCCCCACTATAGAATCTAGCTTTCAACCCTTGTAGTGTACAGCATAGTTTCTCTATAGAATAAAGGGAGTCAACCTTTAAGGCACTAATGTAACAGAATTGTAGGCTCAAAATCTGAATTATCCAATAGAAACAGCCAGGGGTGGTCCTCATTCTATAGACAAGTGGGTGTAACATCAAGGCTGACATATTATTTGAGAGGATAGTTACGCAGCAATGGCAAAAGAGGTTGGCATTTTATTCTATAGAAACATGATTGAACATTGCAAGGTTCAATTCATTTAAAACAAATGGACAGAAAATGACACTCCAAAACAAGATATGTATATAGAGGTTGATATTCATTTTATAAGGACAGGGTTGGACACTCACAGGTTGATTCTTTATTTTAGAAAGGTGGGCTGAATTTTGAACAAAAAAAATCATTTTATAGTGGGCCAATATTCACGGGTTATTCCACAGGAAGTGTGGGAATGCATGCACCAGATTGCACAAGAATGCGCCGGATATTTCGTGAAATCAGAATCAGAATCCAACCTACCTCACTGTAAAACATCCATCCACTCTAAAGTAAACTCTCAACCTTCTACTGTTCCAGGTTCTCTCTATAGAATCAAAACCATGTCCTCTATAAAATGTCCTCAATTGTCATGTATTCTCTATAAAATGAGGGTGACCAAACTATTGACCCATCAATATATGATTTTCTCACCTCAGAGATCCTCAGAGTGGATCTGTCTCAGGTAGGTTGACATTTGATTCTAGAAAAAACTCTCTATAAAACGCCAGGTCATTTTGGAGCTCGACCTCCCCCATTCTATAGGGGTTATTCGGCAGAGGATTATAAATAAATATAAAACACATCTTGCCGGAATTCCTTGCCCTTCTCCCAAACGTCACAAAAGACATGATAAGACGCGATGCTCCTGAGCTCCTGAGCTCCGCCTGTGATCTCTTCAGAGTAGCTCCCATCGGTCGTGACCTCAAAGAGGCACAACTGGACCATGGTGGTTGTCTTCAGTTCTCATGGATTCTCTGGCTTCCTTGAGTGGGGCCTGGGACAACCCATACCACTTGGGAAGAGCCACCAGACTCCTTCCTAAGATTTTCCGAAGGAAGTACTTGGACGATCTTGAGAAACTGTAGACCTGGTGGATGCAGCAAATATCCGTAGAATCCTTCACATGTTTAGGACGACATGATACGTCACCGAGAAACACTTACCGTTTCGGCGGTGGAAAAAACACCGCGAGAAACGCCTTATAGTGCTGAGCACGCCGAGGAAAAGCGCTACGTAGAAAGAACAAAACGTGCGACAAAATCCAACAAAACCCACCACGTAGAAAGAGACACTCCACCGCTTCAGCAGTGGCACCTTTCTACAGCGGTGGACAAGATCAAAAAAACAACATTGACAATATTTGACAATATCCACCGCTGTAGAAAGAGCCATCGCTCGAAGGGCAGCACCACCTCAAGGAATAACTCTCAAAGATTTAGAGCAACCGAAAGATGAAGTCCTGGTGAGCTGAGACAATTTTTGAAGATTCACCATCAAAGTGACGAAGAATCCTGTGGGAAAGCAGCAAGAAGTCAGGGAGGAAGAGAAGCTGAAGAACATATCTTTGATGAAAAACATATCAATACTGGAGCTATGGCCGGCACAAAGCTCAACAAGAAGACTCAAGATCCAGCAGCAGAAACAGTACAGTACAAGCAACGCTCCAAAAGGAGTTTTGGTAAATATAGTTCAACGGCCGCAAACAACGAGCTCAACAACACAGCTCGACGGCAGCAAATATTGAAAACGACCAAGACGGCTCAACACGACATCGCTCGAATCAAAGGTCCAACGCGTTCTTTAAAGCCAAGAGACCAGATTTGTCCGATCCAGGAAACTCCGCAGGATTTGGCTCAGGAAAGATGAACACAGCGAAGAGCAAGAGCTAATATGGGCCACGGAGAAGAGACTTACTGTAAGGTATATATATTCTGGAGAAGAGTCAAAACAAGTTGTCGGATATCAGAGAGGTTGTCCGGAGATAACTGCCCTCAGTTGTTGGGACACCGAGAAGATAAGATGTCAAATGCAGAGTCAGAGGGAGGAGACGAGACACGAGAAACGAAACACGCGCTCATGGAGCAAGAACAAACAACAAGGGACCTGGCGTATCAAAGTCAAATGCTCGCAATCGGCTAGAGCAACTGACTCATGCCAAAAATGAATTCTCTCTCGCAGCCGAAGTGATGACTGCACCAACTGCCCTACGTTGGGCATCTTTAAAGGTGAGAACTGGTTTGGAACACTTAATGTCACCGGAGGTGACTGGTCGTTGCGACACAAACGATGATAATGATGGCAAAGAGGTGGAAGTTCGGATCCGTCGACCAAACGAAGTGCCAAGGAGTGCAAGAAGCCCAAGCAATCACGGAATGGGATCAAAGAGGAAAAAAACACCATGTCGATCCCGAGACCGCAGAAACACCAGGCCAGGCGCATTAGATGCTCATGATGAAGCCTTTCGGCAGGGCTGGCCAAGGCCCAGTCAAAAGAAGTCAGCTTCTCATTCGGCACCAGTTTCTGAACAGCAAATGTCGGGCAATCTCCTGGATGCGAGGAGGTGAGATAGGGGAGAAAATGCTGGAGAAGATGCTGGCTTGTCTATACTGATTGTCCTTAAGGCGCTCTTTCCGGCATGCTTCATGATGAACGAGCTCTTCTTGTTGATCGGAGATGGATGAGATGTTTCAATGGCATCCGGAGACATGGTTCAATCTCCCGAGTTGTAGTTGCGATTGTGATGGCACAGAGGGATTGTAGTACTAAGGCGTGTATCGGGTTTATATTTGTGGTTGTACAGTAGTACATGTACAGTAACCTCTCCTCCTTTTTGTCAGAGGTTCACTTCGAATTGGCAAATGACGGGCGCAAATTTGAGCCCTGGACAGCGTCAACGTGGTCAACCCGTTTCTCGTCAGTCTAGCAGTTCACTCCATATATGAGGAGCAAAAACATCTTCATCCTCAGAACACCAAAATCTTCCTGACATCATTATGTGCGCAGAATTGATGAACAGAACAGTTGGTTGTGGCGCCACCTGTAACGAAAAAGCCGAAGCTCCTCTTTATGATCCTTGAGAGTTCTCAGCATGCAAAAGGGTGCTTGTCACAAAGCACCAATGAAGAAGGCTTGGAATCTCACTTACCCCTGGAAAATCTGAACGGTCAAATATACAAACACCGACAGCCGACAATTGTAATCTTGATTCTGGGGACTGAAGCGATCCAGGACATCTTGCTTGTTGAAAGGTTCATTCAAAATGGAGGTGGCAACAGTGCCCAAAGCGATTCTGAGACAACAAATTTCAAACGAGCAGCGCGCCGACACTTTGCAGTTCAAGCCACGACAACCGCGCTTATTGAGCCACCATAATCCACATTGGCTTCACTCAGAGTCAGTTGGTCTCGCCTGGCAAAGCAAGAGGTCCAAAGCCAAGGGAGGTTCAGCATCCACAATGAAAACCATGGTCTTTCTCTACCAACAATGATAAAAGGAAGGAGCCTTGTGCGGCATGTTGTAGCTACGATGCTGCATGTGGAATCATGTGGATCATTGACCAGCCGAGGTGCCAGTTTGGTTTCAGGGAACATGTCTTCCTAAACTTCAACACCCCCAGCATAAAACTAGTAACTAGACAAACACAACAAGTAAATGCTTTTAGATCTTTTAGGGTTGTGAACAGCTTTGCGCTGTGCAAAACACGGATTGAAACAATGGGTCTTCACTTTCATGTCAGTGAGTTGGTATCTCATGTTTCTTCTTGTTGAGCACTCGTCACGTTCACCTCTCTGCCCAGTCTGTGAGTTTGACAAACACACTCCTACTTTCCCATGTGACAACCTGACATGTATGATGAAGCTGAGCCATGATGAGCCACAAATGAGCCCTGGTTGTGCGGCCAGTCCATCTCCCAGTGTTTTTGTCGAGCACTGAGATGAGGTTGATCAGCCACACAGTTCCTAGATGTTGCTATCGACTTCTATAGTAAAATATATGTAACATAGTAAAACACATGCCCTGTTGATGCGTGAACCTTCCACGCACAAACATACAAAGCCACTTGCGAACTGAACTCCCAGGCACAGCTTCTTTCCATCAGCGATCAGCTCGATGTTCTCGGTGTCCTTCAGCTTCAGCTTTTTCCTTTTGGTGTGGTCGGTCGGCGAACCCGTGAAGGTCGGCGCTCCGGTTCGCAAGCTTGACGCCCCGCATGACGGCTCCGGGTCCGAAGGGTTGACAACTCACACCACAGAATGGTGGTAGACAACAGATGAGCAAAAAGCTGCAAAAGGGATCTCAGCTAAGGCAAACTTCAAACCAAGAGTTCATCAGAGAGATGTGGTGCCAAGTTGCAGAACCTCCTCACGAAGATCTCTCACCGTTCGGTCGGGTCGAGGGTCACCTGAGAGAACGCAGCCAAGTACCACGGTCGTTTTGGATCGAATACGAAGGAAGATTCCTTCACTCCAGCAAAACACTGCAGCATGCCAGACCTGGCCATGTAACTATCTCAGCACTTCAGTCTTTAAAGATTCTTCTTTGCCAAGCTGCAGGACACGGCCTCCCCGCTCATCAGCAGGACGTGAACCTAGGAGTTAGGTCGGTGGGCAGACTGGATTGGTTTCACATCGTCCGTTTACAACGTGCGCAGTTCTACACTCAATTTGTGGAATGGACACGTGACTGTTTTTCATGCCTACAGTAAGCGTGCTCAAAGGACAGAATGATGCGCAATTGTGAATTTTGGCGGACATTCAACAAAAACTTGTTCTGAGGGAGAAAGGCTTGCATCATCTGTTTTAAGACAATCTTTCCAAGTGGTTTCTCAGCAGCGTGTCAATTGATATAATCTGTCCATATGCATTTCTCTTCTACGATGCGTCGTGATCTGCTTCACTGGAGGAAGCAACGAGGGCAAACATGTGCGGTTCCAAAGAAAAACTTCCGTGAGCGGAAGAATGGAACGCTACAAATGCAATAAAACGTATTGATACTTAAAGCCGATGCATGAACTTGTACTGGAGCTGGAACCCCCGATGCCGGCTTGGGAGGGCCGAGGTACGGGACGAAGCACGCCCATCACCTTCAGTTTGCCCTCCGTCTTGGCCAGGCCGAAGGGCGTCTCGCCTCAGGCAACGAGGTGGCGAAAGCGTGGAATCTTTGGTGAGACCGCAACAACCAACCCATTTTCTACACATCCACTTTCATTTCACTTGCACTTGCACGAACCACTTAGAGTAGTGAAATTGAATGTACATTGGGGTATTGGTGTTTCTATGTGTTACTGGATTCAGCTTGACAATGGGTATTGTCGGCCAATCTGCAAAAAAGCCTCGATACAGCTGAACAAGTTAATTACTTCACTTCAAAAATTCCACACCATGACATGTCGATCCACTATAACATGAACGTAACTCACATAATCAGGCCGCTCTTGTTTTTCCAGAGCAAAATGTTGGTATTGTGACACATCCCGGCTTCATGTTATTGCATCCTGGTCGGAAATTGCTGTGGTTGTGTGCCGTGGATGTGTCTTTGTGATTGTGTGTTGTGGTTGTGTGCTGTGGATGTGTCTTAGTGGTTGTGTGTTGTAATTGTGTGTTTGTAGTTGTGCTTGTGGTTGTGTGCTGTGGATGTGTCTTTGTTGAGCTGGCTGTTGAAGTCCGGCGGGGAACACTGTCACGCGGCCCTCGCGGTTGAGGTCCGGCGGAGAACACTGCGATCCGGAGCTGGCGGTACTTGGGGGTTGTTGTACCAAGCACGTGCCAAGCACGTTCTTTCCCCCTGTTGGTTTGTGTGCCTCGGACTGCTGAGTTAATTCTCCTACTGAGAAATTTATCTTTCAACATTCCAAAGGTTCCTTGAAACCTTCAAGAACTACCGTAGAAGACCTCTCGTGGCCCGTCCTCACGTTTTCACCTCTTCCACACCACTCTTCCACTCCAATTCGACCCAACTGGGGTTCACCAGGCCTGCGTGGTTCTCTGCTTCGACCTCCGCATTAGCCGCAAGGAGTCTCTCCAGCACGTCAAGGTGGCCGTGCTCAGCTGCCCAGTGCAGCGGCCTTGAACCTCGGAAAGGCCCGGGCGACGTCTTTCTCCTCCTCTGGGAGAAGAATGAGGGTTTAGGGTTTGAAGCAACTTGGGATGGTCAGGGCAGGGCCCTTTCAGCCTCTCTGAGAAATCATCCATTCCCCGCTTAAGAGCGAAAGCTTCGGTCACTTAGAGAGCTGAACTTGGATGAAGTGGGGGCATTGGCAGTTCTGGGTTCAGCTTGAAGATGGGCCGTCTTGGCTCAAGCGACGCGAAGTTTTGACACATCTTAACAACCCATGTCCCTGTGTCATCCGGAGAAAGCAACAGAGAGTGAATATAGATGAATCATAGTATATTATATTGCGCTTAAGTGAATGTACTACATGGATTCAAACATCGGCCCCCTTTGACATGTTCTTCTTGAACCATTGATGTGGCACCAAACATTTGCTGATTCTGCTTCAGGGTTGCCTAGTCTGCACCAAATTCTTCTCACCAACATCTCTTGACGGACGAGCTGAGTTTGAGCACGGACCAGGATACACCGACACCGTTTGTGCTACACCACTGCGCACGTGGTATCAAAGCATGCC